GTGAAGCTTCCAAACGTGAAGCCACATTCATCTCGGAGTACGGTGGTGGAGAATCGGGGTACCGTCTCTCAGGTAGCGGGGAGAAATGGAAGTCATCATGATGATTGAAGTCATCAAGCGTAACAGATCTGAATTCCGATGGCGATTGCGAAGTTTGTGTAGATGCATCGTATCCTGGAAAAGACATGTTTATGCGATGGCAGTAAACTGAAATAGCACTTTGGACGATTATGTTTTTTGGAACAGCAAAGTGAAAGTCACTATGTACAGGAGGATTGGGAGATTGGGGATATTTAGTAAAGATTGGGGGAGATAACTGAGATAACGAGTACACGGGAATTGTAACTCTTTTTGCAGTCAAGAGTTGTAGTTCTTAGAAGAGCAATGTGAAACAGCACTGCGAGATAGGGGATTTTGAGTAATTAGGACTGCACGCGGTCCCTCCTGTAAGCTATAGTGACTATTGATGATTTGTTTATGTACTTGGGACATAATAAAATACATTGCGAAGATCGCGGTGTGACTGAGTAGTTGGGAATTGTAACCCTTTTTGCACTTAAGAATTGTAATTCTTAGAAGAGCAAAGTGAAACAGCACTACAGACCGTGGAATAGGAAATTTTAGTAATGCAGACTACACGCGGTTTCTCCTGTTATTATGGCTATAGATATTTTTTTTACATATTGAGGTCGTTAAAAAATAAATTGCGAGGATTGTATAACTTAGTTCACGGGAATTCTAACCCACTTTGCACTCAAGAATTGCAATTCTTGGAAGAGCAAAGTGAAATAGCACTACGTAGAAGGAGATAGGGTAGTTTTAGTAATGAGGACTACACGTGGTCTCTCCTATAAACTATAATGGCTATTTATGATACGTTTATGTGTTACATTGCAAAGATTGGAATATAAATTAGTACACGGGAATTGTAACTCCATAATTCTTAGGAATTACAATTCCTGAATTACTCAGTTCTATTGTAATTCCTGAGGATAAAGGTCTCATGTCTGCGTATGCTGTAATTTCATTGCTTCGTCCTACAATGTATAACAAAGTTTGCAAAGCAAGCTACCTGACAAATAATCAACGGTTGTCCAAATTGAAACAAAGAGTTACAAGAAGAGAAGATTTACCTGAACTATCTGGAAGCGTATTCATATTGTGCTCTGCTATTTTAAATATATGAGAATGGCAAGACATCGCAGAAGATGAACTGCTATTTGTACTCGTATTTGTTAGATACTGATCTGATAATCGCTGAGATGTAGTTTGTATCATCCTATTCTTGAATTGGTCGTAAAGTATCGTGTCCTGTAATGACAGAGTTTTGGAAAAACGAAAAATATTCCTGCTCATGTATGTTTAACAGAATTGATGTTAATAAAAATAGTAATTATAAAATTCCTGGAGAATTCAAACAGTTCTATCTTTGCTGAAGCTAAGCAGAGTTTGTGTTATGGGTACTAGACAACTCTCGCTCTCTCTCTCTTCCTAGCTATATATCCCAATGGTTGGTGGGTTGTTCCATATGGGTATTAAAGAAACGATAGATATAATATACCGACCGAGCGTGATTTTTTTAACACACTGCGTGTTTTTCTCATAGTATTTCTAGTGGTAAACGGTAACTGTCGATATATTAATAATCATTTCGTGATTTTGCGACATCTGTAGATTGTCTACTTTAGAAATAAGTGGTATATTTTTTTAAGGATAATGGAATGGTGCACCCACTTCCGCTAACGGTTTACGCTGGGGGGGCACCAGTGAAGGATGATAAGATGAGCATGAGGTCAGGTCAGTTAGCCCATCGTGACAAATTCACCAAGAATTTATCACGATGGTTTCCAGAGGGAACCGCGTGGAGGTCAACCTGACATGGTACATTGCTAGCAATGGGGTAATTATTTCACATTACTAACAATCCCCTTTCCCCCCAGAAATAAGTGGTCTTGTATACATGAATAGCACTAATAACATCACGTTATCATGTGACACATGCGATACCACTCATGCGTTCCCATTTCAGAGGGTTAGGACTTCATGCCTCTTATCCTGTAATTCCACTGCCTAATCTGCACCCTACAAATGAAACTCGGTTTACAAAGCAGGCTGTTTGGCGGCTGTAATAGGTGCGACTGATGTACCCATTCGGACCATTCTTTACATTCTACCTTTGGTAAGATAAATATTTAGAACTCACTTGAATAACATGTGGGCTCTGGTCTATAAATCTTGGCTCGCATAAGCTACTGTCTGTGATTTCTGGAAGATCTACGTACACAACTGGATCGATATCAGAGTCTACTTGACTTGATGATGCTTTTGATGTTGTGCTCAGTTGTGTTCCCTGAAAAAGGAAAATATTTGATTAGGAAACAAACAAAAAGAGGTACTAAACAACAATGAGAGTTTTCTAAAAAAAGAAGAAAGAGCTTCCTCCCGTGTACATTTACATTGTGGAATGAACTACCTGCCGAGGTTTCTCGAAAGACTACAGCATAGGGTTTTTCAAGAAGGGTATATTAAGGTTTCTTACGGTCGATAATGAGCATTGACACCTCTGGTGTTTCAGGCGTCCATAGGCTATGGTAACCGTTTACCACTAGATGAGCCGTATGCTTACTTGCCACCATCGTAATATAAAAAAAAACTTATCCGAATATTTCGACGCCCGCGTTAAATTTATTAATATCTGTTATCACTTCCGGTTTTTCGAGAGCTGTAGTGCATAAGATGGCGGCCTAGGGACAGTGACTCGGACAAAAAAGTCATTATGCGAGCAGCCCGCGAACGGCACGGATGTGTCGTGCGTGTCTCTAATATATCTAAATCTTACTAATATTAATAACGCGGAAATTTGTGAGTATGGATGGATGTTTGTTACTTTTTTACTTTACAATAATATAGCTTTTTCATTAGAATAACATATACTAGGCTATAAATTTCACGCGAGTGAAACCGAGGGCACAGCTAATTCAGTATAATGCAGCATTGATTACCAGAGTCTGACCTCCACTGCCGTCTTCCATATCTGCCATGATGTTTATAGAAACTGTCTTTTCTGACATTCGCTCCTGTCCGTTTCGATGTGAATTTCTTACAGCTGAGCACAGGTCTCCATTGTACTGTTGCTGATTACACGTGCTTCTGTTACTGGCTGACATTATACTGGAATTAGAAGACTGGCAATATATCCGTTAATACTATTATAATATTGGCCCACAGGCCGGTGCTGGCAGTGAGCCGGTCCAACTCCTTGCCATCAGATATGTTGAAGCGTAAAGCAATTATACATAGTAAAAAAAAAATATATCAATATGCTCTTCAAATTTTTTCCATTATTATTTAAACTAACAAAACACATTTCATGCTTTATAAGTACCTCTTATTTTGTATTAAAAATCCACCGTCCAGTTGAGTTAACTACTACAGTTGAGAAGAACTGGCAACAAAAACAAACTGACATAGAAACTTAAGTACAAGATCTAACAGGAAACACTACTCTTATTCAAGGCCATCTGTTAACATTAAGTACTTATGTGGGTATCTGATAATCATCAATCATCTCAGCCCCGAAGACGTCTGCTGCTGAACAAAGGTCCCTCCTACACATAAACAAGGGTCCTCCCCCAAAGATCTCCACGACGATCGGTCCTAAATTGCTCGCATCCATCGCCTTCCAGTATCTGATAATAATTTGAAAGAATTGAGAAACGTGTCGTGTTGAGAATACACTGCTTCGCTCTTATAAATAGAACAGTCGAGAAACTAAATCACTGTCACCAAGAAACAAAATTGTAGAAATTGTATTATATTTACATATTTAAAATAGCAAACAATCTGACGACCCACTTTAACAAAAGCGGTAACCGCAACCTATATAGGTACATTAACGGTACTAAGAACACTCAAATTTGCTATTCGAGAGGACTAAAATGTCATGCCTCTTATTCTGTAATGTCTTGGAAATTTTCATACCAAATAGATCACGTCACCGCGCATTTTGTATGCAGGTAATAATTATTTTCGATTTTCCGCTTTGTATTTTAGGTAAAAAGTTTAATATTTCATGAACACTCACTGGTATTCAGTTTGGTCTTTCGGTTTGTGTCAGGTCGAATCTAGGACGGTTCACTAGTAACCAATATTATTACAACAAAGACTAACTTTTACGACAATAAAAACCAGGCAATTAAACTGCCTAACTATATAAAACTTTTTAACGACTAGCCAATGTTTAACAATGTGTAATGTTATATCAGTAATGATAACTGGATATCTTTAATATACATCAGAACCATTAAGATAACGTGCTGTCATCTAAATATATATATTTATACAAATATTACTATGATGTACCAAATATTCAGCGTTTATCTGTGATTAATGCAAATGATTTATCCATTTCCTTAACAATATGTATCGCTATCTACAGCGAATTCATTCCCACATACGAGAGAGAGAAACTCCAAGCGGTTCCCGGGACTTGTGAACCGAGTGTAGGTTTAAGGGGCTTCTTGCTGACGTAGGTCAACACTCACCTTCACCGCTCGTGTTTTTCTCTTTTATTACCCAGACATATCTTGTAGGCTTGCTAGTGCAGCTTGAGATACAGGTTCTAGTATAAAACCCACTGTATTCCTAGACACCCGAAGTTCTTTTAGAAGATTGTTGAGAGATTTCGCTGGTATACTAATAATAATCGGCAAAACAATGTTTGCCGAGTCAACTAGTACTTATGTATGTATATTGGAGTGCGAGTTATTAGTAGCTAATAAAATATCGTTGTTTTTTTTCTTTACTCTCTAATTTATATCGCCCTATCTTATCCTATAACTGAAATACATTTCACAAATCAAGGTGCATGGCGGCAGTTCTTAACGTGGGTACTTCTGTCTCACCTATATATTTGGAGATTCTGAGAACTCTAATTTTTAAACCCGTAACTTTGTTTTACCGTTGCAGTCATATAACGGTTTTTTTTTCGTTTTTTACAGAAAATGTCCCACAAGGCAGGTGTTCGTGCGTGGTGGCAGGTCCCATTGCATAGACTCATGCAGTGCAGAAACAATGTGCGGCGAAGTACGGGTACCGGAGTACCATTTGAACGTAAGCATTTGAAGATTTTCCACCTATCTATTACCATGATTCGAGGACCGTCAGTTTGCTTCCCAGTCCAGTCTGAACAAACAAATAAATATTCCGTCCGGTGAAGCTGTAAGTAAAGGCTAAGTATTGCCAACTACATTAAAAAAGAAAAATAACTAAAATAAATATATATAATTATAAATATAATTTCTTGCAGTTTTCTGCGCATAAAATAGACTGTTTTCTATAGTTCTTTCAATCACTGGAGGGTTAGTCAGCAGATAAAGAAAGATTTGTTAGTGTCAGCCAGATTCTAGAACTAAGAATTCAAGTCTGAACTGTAGATCACTAATCCAAAATGTTACTTCTATACAAATGATATTCAGTGACCTAAATAAGAGAATACCCAGATGTTAATCCAATATGTCTGTCTATTTGTTATCTCTTAATAACGAAATGGCTGAACGGATTTTAATAAAGTTTGTCGTGAAGATAGATTTTATCACGAGTTTCTACTTTGCCTATCTTCTATCTAAAACATTATCCTCATTACATAGTACAAAACAAAGTCGTTGTCGCTGTCTGTTCGTCCCTATATATGCTTAGATCTTTAAAACTACGCAACGGATTTTGAAGCGGTTTCTTTTAGTAGATAGAGTGATTCAAGATGTAGGTTTATATATATAATACATGTACACCTATGCGAAGCCGGGGCGAGTAGCTAGTACTATATAATAGTCAACTTATGAAGATCATTAAACACAGTAGAAGATATATCTGTACATTTTGCGTTAATTAAAAGGGTCCTTTTCAATATATCGTTACTATTTTCGTTAAGCTTTATATGTTATAATGACGCACTCAGATAAGACACTGATATTCTATGGGAAACATGTACAACGTCACGAAAGATAACATTGTAGGTAAAAAATGCTTTATTCAGATCTAGAATCTTCATCTTCTTGTTTAGGCAATTCTTTCTCCCACCAAGTGTCTTCAGTGGAGATCCTTGGCAATTTTAGTGGCCCACTAGTAGCTATAAACTTAGCTGTAGGATATTTAGGATTATCATATTGATCAAATTCATTTTTTGCTTTTTTAGTTGTAACATCATTATGACTTCTGTCTATTTTAAATCCTATATAAGGGTTAATTTCATTTGCATCTGGTTTAATCTTGTTCATAATGCCATCGTCCATTTCGTTTAATTTTTCGGTATATGGTGGAGTTTTCACATGTTTCATTTTATTCTGAGCTACATGTTTATTTCGATTAATTCCATATTTCTCCGAATTATGTGTTGTAAAGTCAATTTCTGATAATAATTGTTTTTGTTTATCAATCGTTATTCTGTTTTCTTTATTATATTCCTCTTTTATTGGTTTATTGTATGGCTCGTCAAAATTTTTACTATATTTACTATATGGACGGTCTTTTAGTTTCCGTTGTTGACTATAATAATTATTAACTTTATTTGTTTTAGATATACCATAATGCTGTTGGTCGATAGTATGTTTCTTTTTTGTATGCTTTTCATCTGCTAATATTTTTTTATAATCTGTAAATTTGGATTTGTTTATATGCGCTTTAGCTGCGTTCCTTTGTCTGGTTATTTTTTTATATCTATTTGGGAATACAGTAGATATATGTTGGAAACCATCATCCTTTTGTTCGTTTTCATCCGACATAGCGTTATTAGCGATCCTAACGATGAATTCAGCTATCTGCTCAGCCATAGACTCTGAGAAAAATTTTTCCGCTAAGTTCTTTAGATCTTCAAAATTTGCTGTTAATATAAGATATGATTGAACTATATTTGTCAGAAGCAGCAATTGTAAACCTGCAAGACGAAATAAAAAAAATAGTTACACTAGAAATTAACAATTATAATGCTTTATTTGTACCACAAGATTATAATATTAAAAAGAGAGAAAGAGAGAAAATTGCGCAATACAAAATGAGGACCCTGATCTCCAAAACTAGGTATTACACGTGTTCTATAGGTATCAGTGTTCTCTTGTAACATGTACTATATATTGCATTTAGACGTAGATGTTTAATGGTGTGTGGTATATGTATCTTAATTAACTAAAGTAAAAACACTAAACATTTATTGGAGACGTCTTGTCCTAAGATTACTTTCATCAGGAAAGTTAACATATTCTCCAAATGTACTATTACGTTTTGTATTGTGGCTATTAACGATGTATACATGTATTAACGTATTTAATATACGTGAAGCAAAAACTTTGTAGCCCTTTTTACAAAATATGTAACCCTTTTTTTTAAATTTAGCACAATTATAGTTTGTATAGAAACAGAGTAAAATATTAACACAATGCTAATATTTTATTTGAATTATACATAAAAAATACATTAAATCAATAAAACTACATTACATACGCTGTTTGGGAAACTACTCTGCTACCAAAATGTTAGGGAAGCGTCAGTCATTTACCTTTATGGTTCTGCGGATTTCTTGGGCTTCAGGGTCTCGAAGGTATCTTCGCTAGCTTTCCAGCTTCACAGTAGGCTTCACAGTAGGTTAACCCAGTTCTAATTTTAATTCACAACACAATGCGCGCGCGCGTCAAGGCCGCTGTACAGTCCGTTTGTATATTGAGGGATGTATTTAGAAAAACACAAACTAACGGACTCTAATATAATAATCTGTGATTACGATGATACCGAGTAGATTTTGAACATACGCTAATCTTTTGTTTATTGTTAGTATTATTATTATAAATTGAGAGATTGATATTGTCTGTCTTTAATATTATTTGTCTATAGTCTTTCTGAATAGTAAGTAAGTAGATGACGGCCTCGGTCTAGCGGTTAAGCACACAGCTTTACTTACAATAGTCGCGGGTTGTTGTTGTCAAGTACCATCAAGTACACAAAAGCTCTGCTTACCGTGGGACTAGATGGCGCTGTGTTAATTGTTCAGGGTTATTTATTTATTTACTGAATGTAAAATTAATTATGATCGTATTTCTACCACTGTATTTATTCCACTGGGCGACCATTAGTGTAAATAAATAAGTATATAATTGAAAGCATTCATGCTTAAAATATAACTTGAAATATCGCAAATGTACTCACAAATTGTAGCAAATATATACATTGTCAGTGCCGCTGTAAACATGGTGAAACATTTTATTTAATTTTTATTGTATTCGTATTTTATTACATTCGCCTATTATAGTGTTGTGGAAATTATATTAAAAACACTTTCAACACTGAATAGTTATTATGTAAATTTGAACACAAATTGTGTACACAAAAATGTTATAGATTTTATTTTTCACTCAACACCTACTGCTTATTATAGTAGTCGCATTCAGAGAGCATAAAAACTGATTTGAAATTTAATTAAATTTATAAAAATATACTTATTAAAGAGATTATTAGGTTTTTTTATATTACGATGGTGGCAAACAAGACTCAAGATGTTTTCTTCGGACTACTCTAATGCTGTTGACCGCAGCTGGCCTTCACAGCTTCACCGGACGATAGAGGACGAGTGCAGATAGCACTCCAAACAATGGAAAGACTTATGGAGCTGAAGGCCAACTCCCGCCCGACGGATACGACTTTAATCTGAGTGCACGTTAGGGTTCGAACCTCGGCTCAGGCCGTCGTAATTTTGATCCCCGTTTGAATTGGACAGGGAATCGAACAGGGAGACAAGATTGTTTACAGGCAATTTTGTTACTCGTTCTTCGTGTGATGAGACCGGTAATGAGCCGTAGATAAAAAAATAATAATATATAAATATAATAAAAAATAATATAACTAGTCAAAAGTGCTTAAATTTTAGTTTATGTTTAATATTCTATTCTATAGTTAGTTGAGTAACAAAATAATAGACATGACGAAATCTGTGGTGCTGTATGTATACCCACATATATATCTTAATATATAAAAATTACGTGTCACGTTGTTTGTCCGCGATGGACTCCTAAACTACTGAACCGATTGCAAATTTGATTTACTCATTGTTTGCAATTTGATCCAACTTGAAAGATAGGGTAGCTTACATATCAATTTATAGTCAACATTTTATTTAAGAACCTTACCCAACCTTACCAACAATGCGTGGCCGGTTCTGCTAATATATATATAGACTGATGTATATAGACTTTTGTTGCCACATACTATCAAAGTGTCTGTCAATTTATTAGCTATTAAAGTTAAAAACAACGTTTTCAGCCATGCTACGTATGCAATAGTACGGGACACAACTGTCGGGCGCTGCCGAGACTTAAGACGAAGGTCTTCGAAGACGAGGTGACCAGCGACCTCAATGGCAACGCGTTGGACAATAGTACACAAGTTTTTTGTAAGTTTTCTAATTACGTTTATTTTCTAAGTACGTTCAGTATTTTATTTTATAGGTACAGATAATGAATCATCGGATTGTGTAACAGTTTGGCGAATTTACTATCAACGTGCGGCAACACCGTTGCTTAGTTACGATGGAACAAGAAAAAGTATAGGTCTATTTTATCCCCCTTGGGGGTAGACTTAATCAAAATCCTTTCTTAGCGGGTGCCTACTTCATAACATCTACCTGCATGCCAAATTTCAGCCCGATCCGTCCAGTGGTTTGGGCTGTGCGTTGGTAGATCACTATGATTATAAATACTTCGTTAATATACATATGTAAATAGTCCTAACTGGTTTCACATTCACCTCCTTACTCCTGATGCTGCAGCTACATGAACACAAGACACAATAAACATAAATAATGGCGGCTCCAACATAGCCGCTAAAACAGTATACGCTGACGGGGCAGTGGAGGATGGTAAGAGAAGGTCCTGGTGAATGCATTAGTAATGAACCAGAATGGTGCCATGAGACCATGTGGAGTTCGATCTGACAAGTCGTTTTAAGCTACAAATGTCCAGCCTGCGTAGACGGGTTCTTCATTCCATTCACACGTAAAGGATTTTTTTATTTGTAATTATTACTTTATTACTTATAATTTCACAGTAAGGATATTGGAATTTGATTTATGTTATCAGTAGACCTCGAATAAACTTAGATCTGTATTTTGTGAGCTGAGAGTGCGGATCCATAAAGATGTTCGTGTTACATAGTTAACATTTTTATTAGTAGTTTTTCGCAAGCTTATTATACAATATATTCTTTATTGTACACACACATAGGAAACAGTGATACAATGAATGTAATGTACAAAGGCGAGCTTATCTCTAAAAAGAGACTTCTTCCAGCAAACCTAGAAAATGTTATAGGGCTGGGCATTAACTCTGTGAAGGATTGGGTAGAAGATGGCGAACCAAACTATATTATAATAGAAAATTATTTATTTTTATGTTACAATTGTTAGAGTTCACATCAAAATTGTAGAAAATTTTATATTAAAAAAAAATTAAAAGAAAGTAGTTTGTGTTTAGTACTAATAAAGTGTTAAATGTAAAGATTATTATAAATATTGTAAATAGCGCCATCTAGTATTTATAGATCAAACTAAGTAGTCCACGTTTCTCTCCTTACTACAGTGACTTCTATAAATACGAAGGTTGGTAGTTGAATAATTCTCTTTCGTTGAATAAGTGACGGCAATCAGTCGACAAGCACAGAACGTGCCGGTTGTACTTCGGATACAATAGTGGACAATCCACTATAGTATCCGAAGTATATTGGAGACAGGTTTATCCCGGTTTTAGTTGTGCCTGGGGGAAGCTGCGAGTAGTGAAGGTGAGTGGTAATGCATTCTAAAAGGGCCTTTCAAACCTACACCCGTGTCACAAGTCACGGGCGCTACTTGGGGTTTCTCTTCCGGTAGCCGGCAAAGCCTAAGGTCATCTTAATTAGTGCTTCTTATACAAGGAATAATATGGTACAACAGGAAAAATAAATATACAACATAGTATATATATAAAATATATAAAATAGTATATGTTTCTAATAATTCTTACGAGTTCCGTAACAAACTCGTTAATGCCCAGCTATGTAATAATACAATATAGTAAGAATATTTAATTATTACAGTTTCTTCAGCAATCGAGGAAGAAGAGGAACCTGAGGGTGTGGAGGACACTGATTTCGTGCTGTACGTGAGTGCTGTGGAGACGGAGCGGTGTCGCCGTGGTCTGACGGTGGCATACGCGTCCCATTGCCAGCAAGAGTCTGCTTTAGATAGGTATGAAACTGTATAAAGAATATAACCGTTTAATTTCTCTTATAAATATCATTTATGTTTTGAAATTCGTTTTCAAAATCATTACATAGTATAAAACAAAGTCGATGTCGCTATCCGTCCGTATGTATGCTTAAATCTTTAAAACTACACAACAGATTTTGAAGCGATTTTTTTAGTAAATAGAGTGATTCAAGAGGAAGGTTTAATTATATAATACATGTATACCTCATGTTGACCTGACTACCTGATCTGACCTTATGTTCATCTTATCGTCCTCCACTGGTGCCCCGCCAGTGTAAACCCATAGCACATACGGGTGCACTATTCCATTATCATCCATAAAAAAAATATATAATACCCTTCATGAAAAACCCCGTGCTGTAGTCTCGTGAGAAGACCTCGGTAGGTAGTTCATTCCACAATCTGAGTAAGTGATTTGATTTGATTGCAGACCCGTGGCCGGTCACGCCAACTTCTGTCCCGGGGAGCTCTCCACAAAGTACAGAGACATGCCCTCAGTGCTCTCCACGGTGAAGCATGAAATGCTACACGCTTTGGGTTTCAGCGTATCGCTATTTGCTTTTTACAGGTAAGTTTATGACACGACCTACTCGTACATTTTTTATCTCACTAGATTAATTGAGTAATAAGAAAAATTTTAGTTTTTATTTTAATTTTATCTTATCTTACGTTTATTATTTGCACTCCTTTTGCACATGGGTATGGGGCATACACAACTTTCTGAGTCACGCTGTTTTGGGTTGACTGGAGGAGTTCTTTTTTAGAGATAAGTCCTCCTTGCTAAATTTGAAACGTGTATTTAAAAACTTGTATTTTAAAGTGCATTGAAGTATATATAAAATAATAATTGTAATAATAATATAAGCTGTAATACCAGAAAACCTGTAGAATTACCAATTTTTGTCTTATGTTTAAATAATTTTACATCTATTCTTCCAAATTTACTCTATGCTTCCAAATTTGAATTTAATAATGAATCTGTATTATTGTAAACATGTACAACCATATTTGAAAAGAATACGAGCTGAGTTTCTTGTCAGTTCTCAGATCGAAAGCACTCCGAAGTGACGGTAGATTTGACATATCATAAGAGTCTGTAATAGACCTACATGAATAAAGATATTTTGATTTTTTGCATTGATTTTAAATTATTAGTTTATTCACTATCATTTCTTTTATAATTGTCATTGTTTGGTGATTTTCACCCGCAAAGGCAGGTCTATCTCTCCATAAAAGGGAGCATACATATAATGATGACGGTGATGATGATGATGCTGATAATAATGATGATGATAATATTTCGTTCGCTCTCTAAACCTCTAGACCACGGATTTAAGAATAATGATAATAATAAACAAAGTATATATATAATTTCAGAGATGATGATGGTGAACCTCTTACTTTGCGACGACCAGATACAGGCAATCCTCCACTGGACGAAGAGTAAGTTAATTATTAGTTAATAGTTGATATACACCCCTGGCCATCACCCGATGGGAGGACTATCTTTATGGCAATTTTTCCATATGTTAAAAAAAGGTTGCCAATCTTAAAACACTTAGCGTCGTACGAATAAATATCAAATTTAATTAATCGCATACTCGCTTATATGATGTTGAAAAAATATATATCTCAACGTACGTTAGCCCTAAAAACTACAGCCGGGTCATAAGTCCCGGGAGCTGCTCGGAATTTCCCTCTCTGCCACACGATGGACCCGTACATCATAGTATTATAATAGAATGCTAAAAATTGCGTCTCTCTCATCTATAGATAGTTACATTATCAGATAGTAACCTGGACTATTCGGGGGAAAGAATATTGTTAGTAATATGGAAATATATATAATCTATATTATATTATATATTATATCTATCCTTTGACATTTTTTTTTTTTTTGTTTGCACCAATTATTACCCACTCAGTACCACATATCCCACTGTTTTAGGTTGACTGGAAGAGATTTCTTCTAGGGAAAAGTCCACCTTTGCTCACATTGTCTCTAAATTATAATATCTTTTTATTATCTGTGCAATAAAGAATATATAAAATATGATCCCATTGCTAGCAATGTACCATGTCCACACAGTCCCCCTGGTAACCATCATGATATATTCCACGAATTTGCCACGGTGGGCTAACTGACCTGACCTCATGCTCATCTTTTCATTGCTCACTGGTGCCCCGCCAGCGTAAACCGTTAGCGCAAGCGGGTGACCCATTCTATTATCATCACATAAAAAAATATATAGACTATTCCATGCGCTCTCATATAACAGCTCTGTGGGATGCCACTAGTAAACAAATAAAAAAATCTTAACATTTCCAGACTGCAAATCCATAAATGGTCAGACAGGGTTGTTAAGAATGTCACACGCAAGAGGTGGATGATCCGTGGTGGATACATGGACAGGACCTTCCACATGGTCGTCACGCCTAGGGTTGTTAAAGAGGTACGTATCATCAGGGTACATAATCATTACGTAGTATAAAACAAAGTCGCTGTCGCTGTTTGTCCGTCCCTATGTATTCTTAAATCTTTAAAACTACGCAACGGATTTTTTTTCATAGATAGAGTGATTCAAGAGGCCGGTTTATATATATATATATATATAATACATGTACACCCGGGCAAAGCGGGGGCGAGTAGCTAGTTCATTCATAATTTAAGAACCGCGTTCTTGTCGTTGGAGCTCTTGCCATTTTCCACGATTTTCCATCAATCTTTTTTGTTGATGATACGAAGGTACTTAGTCAAGGTAAAACAGATTTAAGAGCAGGTTTGTTCGTCCATCCATCAGGAATAGATTAGACACCTTAATTACTAATTATCCCCTCCCTCCTATGATTATTTCAGGTGAGAGAACATTTCAATTGTTCGGAGTTGGAAGGTGCAGAGTTGGAAGACCAAGGTGGCGACGGAACCGCGCTCACTCACTGGGAAAAAAGAGTTTTCGAGGTTAGTTCCAGCCCATCAACACGCCCTACAATAAAATTTTAAAGTCGACTATAATATGTTAACATTAAAGTCATGTTTCCAATGTATCGATTTGAGGGATGCTATCTTACCTTAACAAGTCGACTTTAACATGTTAGCATTAAAGTCGTTTTCCAAATGTATGGATTTGATAGATACATTCATTCCTGAAAAGTTTTAAATCGTCTTTAATTTCTTCGCATTAAAGTCTATTTCCAAATGTATGGAATTGATACTTTCGTGCCTTGATATTTTAAAATCGACTTTAACCTATTAGCATAAAAGAGTATTTCCAAATGTATCGGTTTGACGGATATTATCTTGCCTTAAAATGTTAAAGTCGACTTTATTACTATCAGATTAAAGTAGTTTTCTGAATGTCTCGAATTGATAGATACTATTTTTATATTACAGAACGAAGCTATGACCGGCACGCACACCCAGAACTCAGTCTTCAGCAGGATAACCTTCGCAATGCTGGAGGACACGGGCTGGTATCGAGCTGATTACGACCACGCCACCCCCTTGGACTGGGGGAAGGGGCTGGGCTGTCAGTTCGCGATGACGTCATGCAAGCAGTGGCTGAATGCTCAAAGGTTGAGGTATACTCCTTCTACATTACTTTAAGATCATCTCCAGATCATCTGCTGGTCATATCTGTCGTAGAATCGATAGTCGCTGGAGTGTGTGTTCTAGAGTGGAGACCGCGAATTTGCAAATGTAGTTTAGGACCCCGCAGCTAGACATAGTAGGGCCCAGATTCGTGCCTTGGGAAAGGCCAAGGTCCAGAAGTGGACTACAGTGGGCTAGTGATGATCATCATCTCTCATGCTATCATTTTCTCTCCCATCTATATGGGAGAGAAAAACGAGCGGTGAAGTGTAGACGTATGTCGGCAAATAGCCCCCTTAAACCTACACCCGGGTCACAAGTCCCAGGAACTGTTCGGTTTCCCTCTCTGCCACACGATAGACCCGGCATTCGCATGGTGAATCCATGGAGCTATGACGTTCGGCTCACACGAAAAGAAGTGATTAGAAATAGGGACCTAGATGTCCCGTATGGAGGTTTATTTAGAAGTTAATTATATACGTATGTTATCGATTTTCATAATGTTTTGTGTATTTATATAAAAATACTTAAGTATTTCTAACAATTGTCTAGTATCCATAACACAATCTCTGCTTAGTTTGGAACTAGATGGCGCTATATGAATTATCCAGGGTTATTAAAATGATCTATATATTGCAATTTATTTACAAGCAGCTCTGAGGATAATTCTACGATGGAGTAAGTAATATGTTCGTATTTAGAGAATAATTTTTTTTGACATTCAAAGAAAATTATGACATATACGCTAACAAAGTAGAGAAGTATATAAATAGTAAGTAATTAATTTTATTCGTTTGGGCTATTGTTAAGGACTACGTAGATCTATTGTGCTAGCCTTTTTCAAAGTTCTATTCATAAATCCCATCTTGTTGAGTGCTAAAATAGTCTAGTTTAATACAACACTGATTTTCCTTCGCGAAATCAACCAGGCGCTCAATCAATCGATCCCCCCCGTCTATTTAAAACGGGGATCGAAATTCAGACGACCTGAGCCGAGGTTTGAACCCCTAGCGGTGCCCTCACACTAAAATCGTACCCGTCAGGCAGGAGTTGGTCTTCATATGCCCTTCCTTTGGTTTGGAGTGCCATTTGCACTCGCCTCCTATCGTCCGGTGAAGCTGTAAAAGGCCAGCTGCGGCCAACAACGTTAGAGTAGTTTAAAAGATTTTTTTCTCGAGGTCACTGACCTTATACATGAGTATGACCAGATATATATGTGTCTTTAATCAGATATATATATATTTTATACATTGTTATTTTTGATATTTTTTTAATTGGTGATTATATATTTGAATGATGAAATGATTCAAATATATTTGAATGATACACCCTTCTGCCCGTCTAGGGATTTACGCTGAGTATGAGGTCACGTTTTCACCAGGAACATATCATGATGCTTACCAACCTGATATGGTACATTGCTAGGAAATTTATTTCATTACACACTCCATCTATCACCTTCTGCCTCTTCTCCTCTAACCAAAGTTTGATCGACGATATCGCTTAAGCGATTATACCGTCTTTTGTACCTACATACTCGAAATATTCTATTATTTCTTGTATTTTCAAGATGTAATAATAATATAAATAGTATACTGAACTGGTAGGGAAAAAATTATAATACAAACATTTGACATAGTACGGTCAATATGTTAAAAATTAATTATACTCTACAGGAGGTGATTTCTCAAGGTGTTTATTCTTTCATATGCACCTTTATTTATTAATTTTAAATATATATAAGTGTTTGCGCATAATATAAAAATATATTTAATATAACGATAATAAATCTATTATATTTACTTACAAGTTCATAACAAAACATTTTATTTTTATCGATAAATATAAACGAGATGGATATATTTCTTAATTGTAATAGATATATTTTTCACAATTGTGTCAGTATATTGGTCACATTATATATACAACACCGTATATACCTTCACGACTCTAATCCTAGATGGGGTAGTCAGTCATTGTCAACTGCCGATGTTGTGGTGAATGCAATATATATATATATATATATAGTTTTAGTACAAGATTGGAATTTCTTTAGTGAAACTCAATGTTTTACTTATTAAGACATTTAATAATAATGAATTGTACAGAGCAAGAATCACTTGTGTAAAATGGCCGAGTTATAAGGGTTTGAGAGCAACACACAAGTTTCTTGCTTATTCTTCTTGTGATGAATCTGCATTCCGAATAAGCGATAGAATCAAAAAACTTGACTATTCAAAAGTGCTTATATTAAGTTTATTTGAATAAAGATTATTTCTATTTCTATTTGACATTTTTCATTCTTTCCACCCACAACAAAGTGTTACATTTTTGTAGTAACTTAAGGGCGCGAACATATATATATATTACTATTAATAAATATTGTAATAAATATACAGAGTTATAGTATGAGTTGTAGACAGTGTCGTCTTAATCTTGAGTCTTAATCAGGATCAGGAGGATCAAATAATCAATATTTGATCTTAACTTTATTATGAGCAGAAATTTATTGTAACAGTTTATTATTTGATATAAATAAAGATGATGTATTTATTATTATTATATATAATATATTGTAACTTTCTTCAGACGCAAAAATCCAGCGCCGTTTTGCGAAAGAATCAAAGGGAACCCTCTGAGGACTGAGTGCTCCCCGCGCAGGTCTGCTGTGGTGCTGTGCAACTTGGTCCGCCATGACACTATCCTGCCGAGAGCATATCAGGTAATAATAATAACCCGGGATGATACACACAGCGCCATCTAGGTATACACCCCGTTATGTCACAAAATAAGACTACATAATTGTCTTGTCACAAAATCAGTCACACCAATAACGTTATTATAACAATAAGTAAGATAAATTAATTCAAAAAACTAATTTCTGCATATCATGCCCCTCCCTATTAGTAACAGCCAGTCACAAAATAAGTTTACATAATGAAGAACATATTATTTATTAAATTACGGCCTATAACATTCAGTATCCCACCCCTTCCATCCCCCCGTTTGTCATAGCTGGTCACAAAATAAGGTTACACAAGAAATAATCTATTAATAATTTTTAATTCCACCCCAATTTCATCCTCCTTTGTAATAGTTCATTCCACAAACTAAGTGTACGCGGGAGGAGGGAACTCCTCACCACCATTTCCAGCTTGTGGGGACGAATTTCCCTCTTTGTAATAGTTGGGCACAAAATAAGATTACAGAATAGATAACATATTATTTAATAAATTCTGTCACATTAATTTCAGCCCTCTCCCTCATCTCTCATAGCTGGTCACAAAATGAGATAACAAAATACATATCAAATTGTCTGTCACACCAATATCAACATCCCCTCTCACTCTCTCTGTCATAGCTGGTGTTAGCGGTATGATTAGGGGCTTTATTTATATGCCAGTTTAGGTTGTATATAAGTAGTTTATTAAAATAAAAGTAAATTTCGAACATATATAGTTGTATAGAAACGCTATAAAAAAAAAATAGAAGTAGGCACAATAGTTGAAGAATGTCTGTAGAAGAAGTCATTTTTGTAGATACTTTCCCGCGCAATTTCAACGCGCCACAGATTCAAAATATACGGACGGCGCGCAGCCGCAGTACGATGATGAGCGCATCATGGCAGTATGCGCGATGTTAATACTATGAGTATTAACAGGTAGTCACAAAATAAATAACAAATTATTTATTAAATTTCATCACACCTATTTTACTATCACAAAATAAGATTACAGAATTAGGCCATTAGTGTAAATGTAGGTCACATTTACAAAACATTTTTAAGGGCTTTTTTAATTTAAAAATAACATTGTCTAGGATAACATCTGGAGCTTCTTATGGTTATATAGAGAAACTCTTTTTTGTTGAATACAAGATTTATTGCTTCATGTACAATTTAGTTAACTTAAAGAATGTATAAAAATGCGCATAACTGTATGGATGGATGCGAATGTAATGGCTGTCTAGTAGAAAGTGTGTGAGTGACATTGCTTTTCAACTTCAATGTAATAATTTGTCTACTCTTTATTTATAAGCGCCTTTATGAATAATTAAACAATAACTAAATAAATATAAAATTGCTGGATGGAATTTTGTAGGCGCGATATACTACAAACATTCTATTCAATGCTATTCCCTGCAGCACTTCGATGTCCTGCCGAGCGTGCCACCGGGAGATGAGGCACACTACGGCGGCTCCGTGTCGCTGGCCGACTACTGCCCGTACCTTCAGGAGTTCACGTGGAAACACAAGAGCGTCCTAGTCAGGGGCAGCAGATGTGTTTACGAGGAGAATACACCAAGTATGTTTTATTTCTTAATACCCTGTACAATTAACACAGCGCCATCTTGTCGCACGGTAAGCAAAACTTGTATTATGGGTACTAGACAACTGATATAAATACTTAGATATTATTTTTTGTAAATACATACGTAATATATATAGAAAGACCGATACAAAGTCATACTCATGAATACAAATTTTTTCACTGTGCATGGAATCGAACCCGCGATCATCGGAAGTAAAACGATGTGACCACCTAGGCCGTCCTAATATTTGTGACAGGTGAAACACGACCCAAATTAGTTCTGCAAGCATTATGTATTTTTAAATTTACGTTTCATAATTTCATAAAATATTTTTTTTTATATTGTCCTTATTACTACATATTACATACTCATAGCAAAATGTATAAGATTTTTTTATTATTAAATTTACTTTGTTTTTTTTTTCAGAGACTGATGTTAATTTCGCATTAGAGAACTACGGCCAACATTCTAAGTGTTTCGACCATAGCGACAAAGTTTGGGAGCAGAAATCTTGTCGTCAGGTAATATCATAATTATAATATTTTCATACTTATCCTCCATCATACTCGTGAACGCGTGATGCTTGTGGAGATTTCTGTATTGTATTCTATTCGGGTTAGGAACACAGAGTAGACTATAAGCTTTTGACAAAATTGCAATGGCATATCCTGGTGGTCACTCTATGCTCCCAAATTTGAAAATAAAAATTAATCTGCATTATTGTAAACATGTACAAGCTTATTTGAAAAGAATACGAGCTGAGTTTTTTGTCAGTTCTTCTCATATTTAAATAATATCGAACTGACTGTAGATTTGACATATCATAAGAGTTGTAATAGATCTACATGAATAAAGATATTTTAATTTCTTTCTGATATTATAAACGCGAAAGACTTTTTCCTTTGTTTGCTTGATATAGCTGAGACTTGGTCTTCCCATTCCCCTTTTTCCTTCAGTAATTTTATTAATTAGTTCGTCGTGTCGTATCCAGAAGTACCGCAAAGGGTTAAAGAAAAGAGACAGATCATAAATATTGAGAATAGGCGGCGAAAAATATAGGGATATAGGGACTGCGATTTTGCTTTGCGGTACTTCTTCATTTCCTATTTTATCTTTCCAGTTAATTCCTTCCATCCTTCTCCAACACCACATTTCAAAAGATTCCAGTTTGTCTTTTTATTTTGAGTTAATGATACTCAATAAAAACGATGTTCTTGATTAGTAGAATGATAAGGGGCGTAACAAAAAAAAAAGCATGGTAATTTAATGACATAATATATCGTCGGTTGAATAGAAAAACGGCAGTATTCAAAATGTACATTTTTTTTACAAGATAAGCATTTAAAGTTTTTAAATTTATTTAAATTTTTTTGTCCGTTAAATTTACACCGAAGTATTATATATAATTTTAAAAGTATTTAGATAATTATTAAGACGGCCTGGTTAATTTAATTGACTTATATAAAAGGAGGCAAATCTGACATCTAATTTTGAAAAATGTCAGTTTTCTATTTAATAGACGATATGTTATTGTGTTTTCTTTAATTTTAAATGTACGTTTCAGATAAGAGAATGGCAGCATTGGGGCTCGGGTTGTTATAAATATAAATGCGTGAGCGGTCGACTGCACATTGTGGTAAGGTCCCATCCCATAACAATAATGATAATAAACACATTTATTCAGCACTAGTTGACCTCACAAACTCCGTTCCGCCTCAGAATTAAATAATATGTCTTGAATTTTTTTAAGTTTAGTTACGCAAAATATTTTTGAACGAACCCTGTTTGACAGGTACTAACAGTTTGTATGGGAAAATAAAATTGATGTCTTTATTATTTTCTATGCAATTTCTTTATATTTTATCACTGTTTAAACCTTCTGGATTTTCACGAATATATTAAGATCAAAATTAGCCAAATAGGTGCAGCCGTTCTCGAGTTTTAGCGAGAATAACGGATAGCAATTCTTTTATATATATATATATATATATATATATATATAGAAGATGATGGCATGAAAATTATTATTGAGGGGAAAATAGAAGGAAAGAGGGGGAGGGGAAGACCAAGGAATAGCTACATCAAACAAATTGAGGACAAAATGGGAGTCGTGTCGTATCAAGAATTAAAGAGCATGATGGAAGATCGCGGAAAGTGGCATGAGCTCCACCGACAAGAGCGTAGCTCTTAAATTATGAATGAATGAATAGAAGATTACGTCAGTATTCTTATTCACAATATTAGTCTATTGTACCGTAAAACTAATTACTACATTACCTCACCAGTGAGAAAATTGCCTAAGCCGCACTGTCTGAGGGTCGGTTTGTAGGGCACCAACATCCAATAATATTTATGGTCTGACGTTATTCTATATAAATTAGTGCTAGTTGGTAGTTTGTATTCACACGTTTCGACTTGAAAAATGTAAACTTACAAACATTATTTAAAAGAGCAACACACAAGTTTCTTGCTCGTTCTTTTTGTGATGAGACAACTTTCCGAATGAGCGATAGATTGAGAAAATTGTTATGAATATTCAAAAGTGCTTAAAAGAAGTTTATTTAAATAAAAGATTTTTTATTCTATGTCGTAGACTTAAAAAATAAACCTAAACATTTATCTTAAAAGTACATCCATTGGAGAGTTTGAATGCGTTCAGGGAATTCCAGAGTTGTGAATTATACAGATAATTTTGATATCCAGGTTGGTAATTATTCCTACACTTGCTATCACGCCGGTCAAGTTCTTCAAGTGAGGATCATCACTAAGGGTTGGCTGCACAAGGGCGGCGTCGTCTGCCCGCCCTGCAAGGAACTCTGTGGCGAGGAATTTGCTGTAAGCAGATTTTTTTAAATATATACAATTTTACATGAATCAAATCAAATTAAAAGAAATATTAATTCATCTTAATTATCTTAATCATAAGTGTGCAATTTATTTAATAATTAATAATCAAATTTATTTTGCTATGAACATAGGTATATATTGTGATTGTAAAATATAATGACCGCCAGTTACGGAGGCCACAGCCAGAGGTTGCAAAAAATGCAATTTATTTAATTTTAATTTAATATAATAATCTCAGGACAATTCACACAGCGCCATCTAGACCTATACATTTTTTTTTTTTTTTAAATATGTACATATTATATATACATAGAAAACACCCAGACCGATACAAACAATCATACTCATCAATACAAATGTTTGTGCCGTGCGAGGAATCGAACCTGTGGCCATCGGTCGTAAAGCGGTGTGCTTGACCGCTAGACCACCGAGGTCGTCAATTATTATTACATTAAATATTTTTATAATTAATTACGACTATGTGATACTTCCACGATGGATAGAAATAGAATTGTAAATTTAATAATCTTACACCATTTTAACCGTTTCTCTAGGCACCTGCTTAACAGAATATAGAAACAAGTTACATATTTAAAATAATAATAACCCTGAACAATTACAACACAGTGCCATCTAGTCCCACGGTAAGCAACGGCACGGTAGACAACTGATATAAATACTTAGATATATGTTTTTTTTGTAAATACATAAATAATATACACAATATATACATAGAGAAAACACTCAGACCGATAGAAATAATCATACTCATGAATACAAAGGTTTGCACCGTGCGGAGAATCGACAACCGTCACCAGCAATCATTGGTAGTAAAGCAGTGTGCTAAATCGCTAGACTTAGCTTCTGCGTGTTTTCTATGTACATATATTATGTATTTATTAAAAAAAACTATATATATATATATTTATATCAGTTGTCTAGTACCCATAACACAAGTTCTGCTTAGCTTGGCACAAGATGGCGCTGTGAAAATAAAAAGAAATTACGCGGCTCAGGAAGTTAATAATGTATATCTCTATTTGCAGTCTCGCCACGAATACTGCAAGGTCGGAGAAGAAGCATTACCACCGAACTTGTATCCGAACGATGTGCTCACGTGCGGCGTTCCCGCGCTTTCACCCGCCGCCATCTTGTTTTCTTCCGCCATTTTGTTGACGATCCTCCACGTGTTCTGATATGATATTGTGTGATATTGGGAAATGTTTGTTTTAACGACAATTTTTATTGTAATGTCGTGATCGAATGATATTTATATATTGGAATATAGTATTTGCGACCTCTCAGAATTTTCAGGACTGTGTTCAAAACATAGGAAATTTTTTATATATTTGGATTTTAATTTAATTATTTTATAAATGATAATGGATGGGTGCACCCGCCTACGCTTATGTTATATGCTAGCGCGGTAAGAATGGAGAATGATAGGATGATCATGATATCAGGTTATCATGGTAGATTAATCATAACTAAATGAAAATCGACCGGTTTCTTATAAGCAAAAGGGACACTAGTGCTGGTTTACCTAGAGCCAGTAGCACTTTCTTTCAAGATATTATAGATTGGAATAAATTGTAAACCTAATTAAGGTTTGAAAATACAATTATTGTTATATATTTGTTTTCAAATGATAAATCTTATTTGGTTTACACTTTGTGTAAGATATAAAATATATTTAAGTAAGAAAAAGATTGTGCTGCCTACTCCAACATTTTCCGGCCCCATTAGTGCGTCTCTCGAATGTACGTGACCCTCTCAATATGCAGGCGAGGGGGGCCTAATGTGCGGAGACCCCTCAATGTACGTGGCTCCCCATTATACGTGGCTCAGTGTGCGAAAAACCCTTAAAATGCATGGTCCCTTCAAAGTGTGTGGTCCATGTTCATTATGTGTGGCTACCGAACATTGAGTTAGAAGCCCATTCAATGTGGGGACACCGCTTAATGTGCGGGGCCCTTTTAAAGTGTGTGGCCCCCTCATTATGCGTGGCCCCCTCAAAGTACGTGACCTCTCATTCAGATGGACACCTTTATTGAAGGGCCCCCCTTCAATAAAGGTGTCCATATCAATGAGCGGGTCTCCCTTCAATATATGGGACCCTCTTAATGTGCGAGACCCCTCAATGTGCGGGGCCCCTAGGCTAATCCGACATTGGGGGACATTAATCCACTAATTCGGACTAGTATTCCCTACGGACTGTCATTATAGCACTTCTACAAATAAAAAAACATAAGTTGATTTAATCTATATTTTCATGTATATATAGTCATTTTATGTTTAGTCACATAGTTCTAAGTATCTAAACTTAAGCAATACTTACTACGCCATACTTAACTTATTTAAGTACTTAGTTAAAACTTCATTATAAAAAAAACTGAATTTACAAATCCCTTTTTTACTACTGCACTGTTCTATTTATATTAAATTATCTAACGACCTCGGCGGTCGAGCGGTTTAGCATACCGCCTTATTTCTGATGGTCGCGGGTTCGATTCCTCGTACGGTACAAACATTTGTATTCATGAGTACGACTGTTTGTATTGGTCTGGGTGTTTTATATGTGTATTAATTTTGAATTTAAAAACAATGTATTTTTGTATTTCTATCAGTTGTCTAGTACCTATAGCGCAAGCTCTGCTTGTGCTTACCTTGGAACTAGATGGCGCTGTGTGAATTACAGAATCTTGGGTTATTATTATTGTTTTACAGTTTTATATGAATCGTATAAGACAAAAGTTTCCTGTAAATAGTTTTTTTTGATGTTTTTCCATCACCGGAGCATTAGTTAGACCGTTTAAATTGAATCATGTAATATAACTTATGTTTTAAGTTCGAAAATATACGCAAAGAAAGTGAGATTGTATATTTATAATGTAGTACTTAAGGTAATTATTTGAACGATTTTATTTTTGGTGCTTTACTGTATTATTATTGTTTTATTACTTATGTAATCATTATTAAGTTTATTTATAGATGTCCCTAGATGTTATTTTATAAAATCTAAATAATGACGAAATATTTGATATATTTATTTTTGTAATTGATGAACTCGAAAATTATTTTTTTATTTTTTATGGCTTCGAAGAATAAAATTTGGTTTTATTTATACAAAATTATTATACAAGTTTATTTTATCAAAATATACAACATCGACAATGTTGACAGGTGTTAATATTTTTATGATTGAAATTTAAAAATTAAATTGTAATATTTTTTATTGTAATACAGACTAATCTCACAATGATATTGAGCTGTATACATACTGGCCTGTGCCGGCAAACTACTTAAAAATATTTTCTTTGACATACGCAGTAACAATTTATATGAAAGCGTACGAAAATATGAAGAAGTTTAAACGTAGACTAGGCTGTACGGTCTATGGATCTTTGCCTGTTCCATCACTGAAAAGGAGATGGACGAATATGGGAAAAAAAAAATTAAAGCGTACACTGTGCGGAAATTGTCTATGATATTGTTCGATACTTTGCCGCCAAATGTGGTTCAAATAGACTGCATTTTTTGACAATGTGTTTGTGTTGCCCATAATGCCCCAATAGTTCGCAGTTCTTCTTCGAAACAATTTGTTATTTTAGTTTGTGCGCTCATATTTCGACTTAGAGAAAAGCTAGCCAAATCTTTAGACCTATGTTTTTTTTACAAATTACGAAGTAACTACAATTAGTCAGCAGATACTAATACTTTTACTTTACATGTATGACTTGGCAAACGTTGTTTAGCCATATAAACTATTTTTAGATGAAATAAATTAAAGGAATGGTTATGGCAACACAATCTTAGGAGCCAAAAGAAAAAAATAGACGCGCAATGCAGAAAGTCGATATCCGGAGTTTAATGCTGTCAAATGTGTTAGTTTTAAATGAAATAAAAGTGAAAATGTACTGATTTATATATAAATGAGAAATAAAAATAATATTTTTAAATATTCTTCTGTTGTTTTTATTATTTTCGTATATCATTTACCGAGGTATACTTTGTACAAAATCTGCATCCGCGTCTCACCTATTCAGCCTTGCGTTTTCCACAAATTATCGTAGTACACATGTTTCCATTCCGGAAGGCTAAGGTGTAATGTCTTCGTATGCTATAATTGACTGTCTATTACTTTGGTGTTTCAGGCGTCCATAGGCTACGGTAACCATTTACCATCAGATGGGCCGTATGTTTGTTTGCCACCATAGTGGTATAAAAAAAACTGCCATATCGCCTTTTAAACGAAACGGACCTCAGACCTACATGATGTGTATACAAAATTTCATAAAAATCGGTAAAGCAGTGTCAAACGCCGCGACATGAGAATTTTAATCATTTAAACATTGTAACTAATTATATACGCAACATAATTACGTGGTATACTAAACCAATTTTCCATTACAAATTACATGGTAATAAATGTAGTAATGACCATAGACAAATTATAAATTACAAATTAAAAGAAGTATATGCTGGTATCCCTAATTCACACACGCATTGACAGTATATGAAGAAGAGATACAGTAGCCCATGCGCAGATAAGTACTCGGCGCGCAGAGTAAAAAGTATTTTTCGCGCCTTTTTAAGAATCGGAAGACTCGAAGAGTATAGTGATTACAGTAATATCCCTATAACACGTACCTACTCTTATAACGCTTTTTCATATTACACGCGTTTCAATCACCCGTATAAATTTCTGTACTGTAAACTTTATAATCATTTGTTCATGTTGATTTGTTTTGTACAGTTCATTAGTTTTTTTGTTCATATCCATAAGTTTTTAATTTAGAATGTTCAAAGTTTAGTTTTGATTTTAATAAAACGTACATATTTCGTTCTTTTAAATATTCGATTCTTTTTGCCAGAAAAATCGTGAATAATTTATACGTAACGCGTTATACGGGAACTCATCGACTTATACAACGCGTTACCAATCTACCGTGTTATAGGGGATCTTACGGTACAGAGGAAATCAGTTTGAGGCTAAACGTCAAGAATTTAACTTATTTTTTATTAAAATACTACATTATTAGTGTAGCAAAAGCCCTAGTATTGGTCAAATTGGCGTTCTTCTAAAGCCCCAATATGTTATTATATTTATTTTTCATTGTAGTAACATTTGTTTTTAGTAATTTTGCTGAGAAATTTAACTGTGACTACCAATTTGGTAAGTTTGGTAAAGAAATAATTTAATTAAAAACGAAATTATTAGAAAATCTACTTTAACTTTTTGTCAGGGTTAATGTCTATTTTCCAAAAATATATTGCTTTTGAGCTAATGCAATTCGTGCGTAAGTTTAATTTCATATAGAAAATATTATGTTTTATAATATAAATGCACAGTCACTCAGAGGGTAATGGAGAGGGCTATGCTTGGAGTTTCTCTGCGTGATCGAATCAGAAATGAGATCCGCAGAAGAACCAGAGTGACCGACATAGCCCGAAGAAATGTGACTCTGAAGTGGCAATGGGCAGGGCACATAGCTCGTAGGACAGATGGCCGTTGGGGCAATAAAGTCCTCGAATGGCGACCACGGACTGAAGACGCAACGTGGGAAGGCCTCCAGGAAGGACCGACGATCTGGTCAAGATCGCTGGAAGGCACTGGATGCGAGCAGAGCAGGACCGATCGTCGTGGAGATCTTTGGGGGAGGCCTATATCCAGCAGTGGAGGTCTTCCGGGCTGAGATAATGATGAATACAATTATGTAATCACTCATTTATTGTTGACAATTAGTTCATTAACCGAATTTTAAAACGGTGGAAATTCTCTACTATTTTTTGTTGTTTTGTCCTACCTCGTAATTTTGTTTTAACCGCACTTTTTTTTATTTTGTACAAAAGATTTGTTGTCTTTATATTAACGTCCTAGCGTCATTGTTATCATTATCAGGACGTGATATATATGTTATGTTGATAACGTGATATGATGTTATTTCACAGGGGATCCAACTTGGAATTATTCAAAAGTATTTCACAATAAAATCTACCCCTTACCTAAGGGATCGGATTCTTTAACGGTTCATTTGAAGGTAAGGTCAGTTCAGGTAGGTTTGTTACCGGTGTGTTGTTTACACACCATTCCATTGTCATCCACAAAAAAAAACATGTAACCATGTTTTTTTTTATGGATGACAATGGAATGATCCTCCCGCCTGCGCTAACAGTTTACGCTGGCGGGTTTAATGGAGGATGACAAGATGAGCATGAGGTCAGATCAGTTAGCAGATCGTGATAAATTCACTAATTTATTACGATGGGTTCCAAGGCCAACCGCGTGGAGGTCAACCTGATCTTATCATGGTACATTGCTAGCAATGAGATCATTAGTCCACATTACTAACAATCCCCTGAATGCGATGCGAAATAAAGCTTTTTATGTGAAATAAAAAAACGCTAAATTTCATTAAAATCTGTTCAGCCTGGAAAAGGTAACAGACAGACTTTTGTTTTTACAATATTAGTGTGAATGCAAGCGGTGTGCTACGCTTTCCTTCTGATGGTCGCGGATTCGATTCCTCGTACGGTACAAACATTTGTATTCAAGAATATGATTGTTTATATTGGACTTGTCGTTTTCTATTTATATTATGTATGTATTTAGAAAAAAAAGTAATAATGATTTTAAAAAATGTTAGTACCGTCCGAGGAATCGAATCCGCGACCATGAGAAGGAAAGCGGTGTGCTAAACCGCTAGACCACCGAGGCCGTTAAAATTTGATTAATTTATAGATTTTATAATATGTACCTATACGTTACAGAAATCTCCCGGTAAAATGGTGAATTTTGTGTGCGTGAACATAACGAATGCAGATTTGAAGTCAACAAATGTATCATTCTCTGCAATATTCGACAGAGTGAGTGTGGTGTTAAAGGAGCGCGCTGTTTGGGATCTGATGGTACACGTAATAGCAAAGCAGCATGGTTATTAAATAATTATATATATATAAATAAGTAATCTTTATTTATATAAACCTAATGTATATATAGGGAGGAAAGGGATTGTTAGTAATGTGGATTGATAACTCCATTGCTAGCAATGTACCATGTCAGGTCGACCTCCACGCGGTTACCCCTGGAAACCATCGTGTTAAATTCCTGGTGAATTTGTCACGATGTGCTAACTGACCTGACCTCATGCTTATCCTATCATCCTCCACTGGTGCCCCGCCAGCGTAAACCGTTAGCGCAGGCGGGTGCACCATTCCATTATCAACCCTCAAAAAAAAATGTATATGTATAAATATATGTAGCTGCACACATAATTCGTGAAAAACAGTTATGCGCCAACTGCCTGCGCGATTTTGTTTTCGGACTACTCTAATGCTGTTGGCTGCAGCTGGCCTTTACAGCTTCACCGGATGATAGGGGGCGAGTGCAGATGGCACTCCAAACCCGCGGAAGGACTTGTGGAGCGGCTGAAAGCCAACTCCCGCGTGACTGATACGACTTTAGTCTAAGGGCACCGCTAGGGGTTCGAACCTCGGCTCAGGCCGTCATAACATCGATCCCCGTTGAATTGGACGGGGGATCGATCGGAGGGGCGACCGGGGGCGCCGGTGTGGAGCGCCCGGGCGCTCGGGGACCTCACATTAAGCTAAGTGTCCGCGACCGAGCCGCCTTCATACTAGGGCAACTCTATTGTGGTATAGTGATGCAAATCAGCACGTCCAGTAAAAGATTGTGCGAGTGTACGTTTTGTATAACGACACGTAGGTCACGCAGTACCTCATATATATAGTTTATGTAATTAGTCTAAGCTAGAGTATTCAAGATGTAACAGTTAAATATACAAGTTACACCCTACTGTGTGTGTTTACTCTCACCACCGCTCCTATCATCACATGGCGACCGTGACAGAGAAGCTGCATAAATGGATCAAGATCAGACTATACTCTGAAGATCTTCGGGCAGCAAAGGTGTATAAATTATTTATCCTCAATATATTGTACGGTGGAAATTAATGTTCCTAGGCAATCGGTGTCCAATATCCTCAAATTGAGGTTCACCGCATACCTGTGCCTAAAGTTGATTGAAGCATCCATAGATGGAAGTATAAAGATTGAATAAAAGGGTGCTAGCGGTCTACAAATGTTGTAGTGATTATTGTGCCGTGATTAGTGTCATTTCTGAAGACATTTTTATACGTGTTTGGTGCAGTGAAAATATAATTTCGGGACATATTAAGTGGTATATAATATTTGATTGTGTATTTAAATTTAAGTTACTTATTTTGAACAGGAAGTAGGCAAACTGTGACAGGCCACTTACACACTTTTTGAAAGAATTTTATATTAGTCTGTATATTTTAAAAATGGCCGCATTCGATTTAAAAGCAGCTTTATTACTATTACCTATAGTGAATCGGGATGAGGAAATTATAAAAAGCCTTTTAGACGGCATTGAATTTTACAAAACTATCCTCAGGCCTGATGACCACCCCTTACTAATAAATTTTATATTAAAGACGAGACTTTCTGGTTGTGCCAAATTAAAATTAAAATCAAACTACGATAATATTAATAATTTAACGGAGGATATAAGAAAAATTCTATTACCAAGTAAATCGTATACATTCATTTTAACGCAACTACAAAAATGTAGGCAGGGTAATAGAACAATTTTAGAGTTTGGGGATGAAATTGAAAGGTTGTTTGTTGAATTAACAATTGCCCAAGCGGGGGGTTTGAACACCGCGTATGATATTCTATTGCCCATAAATGAGAATATTGCAATTAGGCAATTTGCATACGGGCTAAACGATAGTAGGTTGACAATGTATATAATATGTCGAAAAATATCAAATTTACAAGAAGCTGTCAAAACAGCAATAGAAGAGGAGGAATTCATTCCTAAGAACTTCCAAACGTGTTTAATAAATAAAATAAATTATGACGCACGAGAATTTGATCGCAGAACAAATCAATGTCAAGCGAAGCGTAATAATACTAAGTCGCGAAGTCAGCATAATACAATAATGCATAGTAAAGAAGGTCGCGCAGTTTGTTATAGTAAGCATATGAATTACGTCAAAGCGTCAGCTGATAGTAGGAATAGCGATAGAAAGACATCGTTAGATTTTGTTCATGGAAATAAGAATACCGAAATTTTAGCTTTTAACACAAATAATGTAGTTAAATTTAATTGCTTTAATAATGATATATTTTTGATAGCAGACTCAGGAGCATCAATGTCAGTTTTAAAGTACGATTGGTTAAAAAATTTGCCTTCAATTAAGATTCATAAAGATAACTCTATAATAAAAGGCGTTTGTGGTAATCTAGAGGCAATGGGATTTGTTTACCTGAATCTTGAATTTCAGAAACTGCAATTTAGACAAAAGTTTTATGTATTTAAAGAATTACAGTGCAGTTCCCATGGTATATTAGGAGAAGATTTTTTAATACAATTTAAAGGTATTATAAATTTTGAATTGGGCTATTTAAGTGTAAAGCCCCACGGATCTCTTGATAGGGTTCGTATACCTTTTCAAAAAAGAGAAAATGGTATAAAATATGATACTTTTCCTAATAAAAGGAAAACTGACTATATGAAGAAAAATGTAAATTGTTTGAAAAATAGAACAGCGGACAAATTATCGAAAATAATTGTAACGTCCGATGAGTTAAAAAAATTAAATTCATGCTGTTCAGGCGTTATTAAGCAAGGTCCAGTTAAGAAAGTTAATAAATGTTCTCAAGTTAAAGTAAAATCTAGTCTATCAAAGATGGTAGGAATTACTACAAAATCACAGTTTCGTGTGAAATTAAATATTTGTAATAAGGAGACATTACGAAAAGTGTTAGGTATGCATAATATGCATGATAATGCGTGCAATGTAGTTCTATCCGGATCTATAATATATTTAAATCAAACGTCTCTATTAACAAAGGTGGGCGTAGATGAATCATTAAGAGAACTTGTAGAGATATGCAAGGATCATAATATTATGGAAGTTATAATTATTAAAAATATGTACAATAAGTCTCAAGTTAATAAGTTCTGTCGGTATATACAGAAGTATGATGAGTTTTTACGATTATGTAGGTATACTGTAAAATGTATAGATAAGTATAGTAAGTCAATAAGTACAGATAATGAAGTGAGCATTGTCACATTGGCCAATAATGTAAAGCATAAAATTTCTTAAAATTGTTATAGAGTAAAAGGCCTAATTTTAATTTTTGGTTACTACTTGTTTAGTAGAAAACAAGATTTGTTAGATGATGACAAATATGTATTAACAATACAATGTAATTTTAACAGTTTGTAATTTATTTGTACTCAGGTATGATATACCTTGAGAAATTGTTGAATTAAATTAATCCTTAGTGCTGTTTTTTTTTTGTCTTTTTGTATGTTTAAATAATAAAATTGTCCTTGTAATGTTAAACTTTTAGAGGGAGGGGACACCCTCACCATAGACACCCTACTTTTCAGGGGAGGTGTGGTATAGTGATGCAAATCAGCACGTTCAGTAAAAGATTGTGCGAGTGTACGTTTTGTATAACGACACGTAGGTCACGCAGTACCTCATATATATAGTTTATGTAATTAGTCTAAGCTAGAGTATTCAAGATGTAACAGTTAAATATACAAGTTACACCCTACTGTGTGTGTTTACTCTCACCACCGCTCCTATCATCACACTATCCCTCTATCAACAAGCACAGTAAAATGTCGCTTCGCAACAAGCTGACATTATACAAGGCTTGTATCCGTCCCATCATGACATACGCCAGTCCCGTATTCGCCCACATACCCTACTATCTAATCAATAGATTGCAAATCATACAGAATAGGTTTTTGCGTCGAGTCATTGGTGCGTCGTGGTTCGTTCGTAGCGTGGATCTCCACCGCGATCTAAATCTGCCCTCCATCAAGCAGAGTTATAAAGGAAGCGTCTCGACGCTATTTCGACTCTGCCCAATCTCACCCGAACCCGCTTATAGTCAGTACGGTCGACTATGCACCGAAGAGTAATATCTGACATCGCCCGAGGCACGTTCTCATTGGTCCCAACGACTACATAACGGCAGTAAACCTTCCCACGGGCCCACCTATTCCACCCCGACCACAATTTTACACACACACACGACACCGTCCTCGCCGGCGAAGACGACGATCCCCAAAACACCATATCGCACAATTAACCGGGCGCGCGCCTCTATTGGTATTCTGTAAGTGTTTTATCAACTCGTATCACTTGCCAAATACAAAGTTCCTATTAAGCTATCGAGTTTGCCAATATTACTAAAACAATCACTAGTTCCTGTTTTACCTCCGTACCACTCTCGAACAAGTGACACGGCAGTCGCTATCGAGTTTTACAAAACACCAATGCATGAGCTCACGGATCCGCTCTCGAATCGATCTCGGATTCCGCTTTCGAATTCGTAAGTGATGCTTACAGAATAGCTCTACTGACAATTTAATAAATATTTATTTTATATATATGTTATTTTATAAATATTTATGTTGTTTTATTTACTCATAATCATCATCATCGCAGCCCGGAAGACGTCCACTGCTGGACATAGACCTCCCCCAAAGATTTCCACGACGATCGGTCCTGCGCTGCTCGCATCCAATGCCTTCCAGCGATCTTTACCAGATTGTCGGTCCACCTTTTTGTTTTATTTATTGTCATTGGAATAAGTTACAAAGAAAATACAAATAAAAAGAACTACGTATGCACTGCTTGACATCAATTACATAATATATATCAACATAGATTTTATTTTCACTAGTTTTTCTCTGTAAGAGGAGTACCCCATCTTACCCCACTCTCCCCTACACAAAGTAGGTGAGACCGAGGCACCCACACAAACAACTATTTACAAAGACTACCTTGTACCTTTTGTCAACAACAAAATTTATGTAACAAACACTATTATTCCAGTAAAAAAGCAGACTGTTAGTAATGTGGACT